CAACTTTAGTATCGGTTTCGGCTTTCAAGCTTCAAAGTACTCTAAAATTATAAACTTGCAAAAGCTTTTGACCGCATACCGTGCAGGACCGAAATCCGTGCTCCTGGCGATTACGTTTAGTTTAATACAGTTTATTACTCGTTTGTTCATAAGCATGACGTTTATCTAAAAATTAGGCAGCTATAACATTGATAAAAAATTAGTCTGCCGCGATAGCTCATTTAGTTGCGCCTATTAAATTTGTATTCAATGTGTGTAAATTTCTGTTCAATATGATGCACATAAATGGAGCGTCATATATCATATAAGTTTACATTATATATCATGTAAAGTTCTGGCACATTTCATGCAATGTAGCAAATATCGTATACAAAACCCATCTTTGTAAACAACATTGTTTACAAGTTGCTCGGTTGCGTGAAGTTAAATTTAAGTTTACGTGAATGAATGTTTACATCACAATTAAAATTCAGAATTTTTATCTGTGTACACTTTCACTGCTGCATCAAAACGATCAGTCAGGAGAAAAAAGAACCACCAGCGCATTTTAGAATGTTTTTCTATTTTTCCATATCCAAATTTTTGATTTTCTGAACGAACTAAAAGTGCTCTCTGTATAAAACGGCTTTAATCAATATTTTAGCTTTCATCCATTTTCTATTTGTGGACGCGCTTATGCAGGATAAATCATTCAAATAACCAAAACTGAGCGAACAAAACTTACAATACACTTTTTCCGACATTCTCCACTAATGAAGTGACCTGGCGGATAAAAAAACTGATCGAATAATCGGTCCGTCCACCATATTAGTTTTCTCAATGTTTGTTGATTTAAACTTGCACGAGCATGTAAATTTATAGGTTTTATAGTTGAAAATCCGATGCTCTTCGATAAGTTTTTACATCGCGTGGAGAATATAACACTGTAAGAGAAACTTAATCGAATAAACGTGTTATTTTATGAGTTCTTTTAATGTGCATGATTTTTAGTTAAATTTTATTTTTTTTCCTTTGGTTTGTTTTTTCCATCGATCTTGTTTTCCGTGCTGAGCACCAATGCTACCGACGTGCCAGGAAGGCAGCTCCCACATCTGTACCCTACCTATCGACCCATCAACTCATGAACCGGGGACCAACGGCTTTACTTCCCAACCGAAGGAAGGCGTGATCAGAGATGTTATGCCTCAGAACATCCCGGCGGCGCCGACTGGGATTGAACCCAGGCCTGCTGGGGTGAGAGGTAATCACGCTTACCACTACACCACAGGCGCCGTTATAATGAAAAATTAAATCAAAACATATTTTAAAGCGATGTAATTTTAAAATGATTAACATGTCATGTAAAATTCCTTATTTTTTGCTGTGTAGAACATGGGACAGTTATGCGTATAACGGCAGTATATCCCTAATAAAATGTACATGGTAATTTGGTTTAACGACGTGTTCAGGGTATCATCTAAACCATTCGTGGAATAGTTCAAGAATTCTAAGCAGCCAGCAAGATAGTAGCCAACGCTGTATTGTCGCCCGTTTACTGCGTATTTAGCAAGTGGAGCTCTCAAGAACGTTAACGTCATTATTTAAACCTGGCATCCCAAAAAAGGCACGCCAGATCCTAAGATCGTAGTTTGTTACTGCTTCAAGGACGATTGTTTTTTTTATTTCTTTTCCGCGAAACTGGCAGGCCCATGCTGTAGGGCAATTCTTCCATGTCCAATGGCAGCAGTCTAAGGATCCTAGTATTCCAGGAAATCTACGACTCTTTCCAACACGCAACAACCTCTCCACATCGTCAGGTGTCAAATAGCCTAGGTACGGTAGAGAACTAGTTTGGCCTAATCACCCATTTTGGGCCTATCGAACAGAAAACTTCAAATTAATCCATGATTTCAGAGTTAACAAGTCAATTATGCGTTTGGTACGATACTTTAGTTAATAAGCTATCGAACGAAGTCAATGAGAACGCGTGGTATGGAAGTTTGCACCCATTATTCCCAAAAACAAAAGAAGCGCTCCGACTGAATCAATTTTTATCTTCATCCGATAGGCCGAAGTGAATTCATTGGCGTTTCAATGGCGTTTAAATGCGTTAGGCCGAGTATAGAATCCGTAGGCCGAGTTTGGCGTCAACAAGCAGTGTTAGACTTTTGACAATATCTCAACGATTGGTTGATCTTTATCTTATATTATGGTACGTACAGAGAGGTAAATAAATTTGGAAGCCATCAGTGATAATAACATTCCGTTTGGTGCTAAACTGTGCTAGATTAAGAATGACGGGTTGTGCTTAATAGGCCGGAAATGGGAAAGTTAACCCTACTTGGGGCCGTAAATACGAACAGTGGTTTCACAAAACTCCACAAGAGATTTCAGCGCTGTTGTCTCTGCCATCCTGATATTTTCATTTACAGCATCCACTGGCATGCCATATGCAAGCGACGGATTGCGGCGGTGCATTTTTGAAGTCCAGTGAATCCTAGTTTACCAGCCCCATCTCGCTTTTGCACGAAGTAAAGATTCGCGGCTTCTATTTCTGCAACAATCTTTATAAACAAGTTTCGGGACATTCGAAACCGCCACCGAAACTGTGAATCACTATGGCCCTTATTACGGGTGTCACTTCACGGTGAAAACGAAGTGAAGTGACCAGTTCTCACTCACGGTGAAGTGATTGCCGTGTAAATCAAATGGGAATCACTTCACCGTGAGTGATAAGTTGTCACTTCACCGTGAAGTGACATCGGTAATAAGGGCCTATACGTGGGATTCTCGGAGAAGTAATCCTGAAACAGTCGCTCAGCTCCTACATGAGCTCCTCTGTTGATATTCGGTTTTTTGCCAGGCCGATTTTTCTCGTCTTCTTCCGAAGCCCTTAACGACAGTTCATGTGACTGGTAAACAACTTCAATGTCTTCCTCGACACTTAAAACGATGGAATCAGCTGCTCTCGGGAAACAATCTGCCGTCAATGCATTTGGAATACTCATGATATAACTACACAACTATTACATATTGATTGACTGATACAAATGAAATATTACATCAATATAACGATGTTCTTCGTGGTCATATTGTTTTGGGTTTTAGTACTACACGGTGGAAAAACATTACTCAAGTCGCTGAACTCAAAATATAAACAAACATGTATCATCGGTGGAAGAACGAGGTGCTAAGCTAAAATAGCTACCTAGATGGAGCCTTATTATAGGGATAGAGATAGCGCCTCCCGTGGTGGTGCTCTAAGTCGTTATAAAAACTTGAAAGTTCTGGTACCATAATTGAAGAGCATTCAAAGCAGCTTCTGGCGGAACTTGAACGAAACTTTCAGAAAATAAGTTATGTGGGCTATGACGGACCATTTAAGAAACTTTTTTGCTAAGAAGTTCCGCTGGGAACTTGTTCGGAACTTTGTTGTGGCCATGTTTTCAGTCTTGCCTGAAGTTTCCAAGAAGTGCTCAGGGATGCTTTTGGAACTTTTTTTGAGCTTCAATTTGCTAGGAGTACGCATCGGAACTTAATGGAACTTGAATGTGGCATGTAAGTAAATACAGTGAATGTGTTTTAAACAGGAAATTTTTGATCTGAAATCATGAAATAGAGGAAATGCATATAATCCCGAGTAAAGTTTGAGATCAAATTGAAATCTAAATTTGATGTTCTGATTTTGCTGATAATGATTACTCAGGTTGCTGTCGTTTTGGTCGTTTTAACGGTTAAAATATCAAAATTGAGAGCAAAAAAATCTTCCTGTGACATCACATTGAAAACTATTTCTGCTATCAGTGAGAGCAAACTGAAAACTAAATTTGGTATCCATTTTTCCTCTTGATAACAAAACAAGTATTCAATTTGATGATATGCTAAGGCAATGAAAACAAACCCGCAACAACATATTTTTGAAGAGCAAATGTACAGCAAAATGAAATCAGAATTAGGTATCAAATTTGTCAATTGCGTAAACTGAAATCAAATTATGATTTCAGTTTGATGTCGATATCAAAACTTGATTTCAATTTGCTGTCATTTTGATGCTAGACTTTGCTGGGATGTTGGCCTAAATCTCCCTACTTTGGGTCCATACATAAATTCAACAATCGACTATTATTATTATTATTTAGCTTTATTAAGGAGGCTTTCAGCCTTGGGCTGGTTCGCCTCCAAATAACAATCGACTAAATTTTCAATAGCGACCAAAAGTATCCATTAGTACCGTCCCAATGACGCGTTCATCTAGATAAAATTGATAAATAGCAGATTTTTAGCGATGGACCCAATCTTAGATCCATAGGCCAACATTAGAGCCATTTCCCCTATTTATGAAATCTTAAGGTACGCACGGAAAGGTAAATTAATTTCAAAGTCAACCGCTCAAAAAATTGAAGCAAAAGGCGGGTTCTGCTTAGTCGGTCCAAAATTATATCTAAGCCCTATGTTAGTCCCAAGCATCACCTGTTGGTTCTCTGTGTAATTACAGCTGATATGAGTTTCCTATTTCACTGTTCATTGCACTTGGACCATCCCACCATCATGCCAGTAAAACAAACATTTTCAACGGTAATGGTTTATTTTATTATCAGTATTCATTTTAATGGTAAGGTGTTTTAAAAGGTAGTATAAGCTATATGCACGAAATAAAACAAAAACTTGTATGAAAATTTCTTCGACTAATATTCACTTCATCCACTCCTCGCTAAGCATAGAGCCCAGTGCAGGTGAGATATAATCCATACTCAAGTCGAATCAACTAAAAGATATAAAAGCTTGCTACAATAGTACATGGGTAAAGAGATGAGTGTTCTCGATTGACAATTTCTGTTCCGTTGGTTCGTAATTGATTTGACGTCCTGTCCGGCTTGCATAACATATGAATAAATAAAACAACACACAAGCCGTGATTCAACCCACCTCAATTCACGGGGGGAGTTCATCATTCTCATTCTTCAAGGATATTCTGGTCGCACACGGGTCTTTTTTTTCTGCGAAATTAAAATAGATTATACTTATCATCATCTGTAAGTGTGCACCTCTGCAAATATTTCTCGGTGTGAATCATTGTTTTACTTTATTTTTTGGCATATAACTGTTTATTTATCTATAATTAACATTTCTGGTTGCTAACTCTGTATTTTCATTCCTAACAGTAATTAATTCTACGATCCCAACTCATGAGAAACACAGTGAGAAAAGGGGATATAGCAATGCCTTGTGCCAGTTGAAAGATATCTATTTTGCGAATGTCTTACGGGCTAAGAGTTTAAATAGTGTGTTCTGTTTTCTTTATCAAAAATTTATACATTATACGAAACTATAACGGAAAACGTAGGAATTCAAATTAAAAAAAGATAAAATTCTTTACTCCTAAGATTGAACGCGCGCCTAGAATGAGACCACCTTCTTTTGCGTTTTGAATCGGACCATTCCGGTTGTCACCCTGGTTCCGGCCTGCTCGGTAGTGGTAGCCGGGATCAACTCTTCGCAAGCAGTTTCTGCTAGCACTTTCTTCAGATGGGCCGATCGACGGGCCCGGGCGGCTTGCTTTTCCTCGAAATCCATCATCTCTTGGTCCAGATCGGCCAGACGGGCCTTGGTCGCGCTGGCTCGCTTAGCCGCAAATGACTCCGCAGTTTCGTCCTTCCACTGGAGGGCACTCTTGGCATCCAGCGAGGAGCTGCTATCGGTTACTGCTCTAATCTACGGTTGACAGGGGGAAAAGGGCATTTCAAGGCGGGCAGGTTCATTTTAGAAGAAACGGTTTCAAAAAGCTTAGTAGGTTTCCGAATATTGCAGATTCTGTAGCACTGATTGGTATTTAAGCTGCAGCAGGATATGGGCAAGGCAAGCGGATAGATAGAAGGCAGAATAGAAAAGCGTAAGATTAGTGTTATTAGCAGCCGGAGCTTGTTGACGGGCAGAAAATTAGTACGGATCGTGATTAGACTCTAGCCAAGCTGTACTTTACCTTGAGAGTTTTCCTCACGGACTTCTTTTCGGTGGAGGAAAGATCGCTGGAATCATCGTAGCTGGACATTTTTTCCGCCAGCTTTTGGGCGGTCTGTTCGCTCAGCTTGGATCGGGTTTCGTTGCGGACCTGATCCAGCGAATCGTTGCTCTGGAGTTGGCTCAGCATGTTCTTGCTGGCACGGATTCGGTTCAGCGTGGCTTGGACCTGAAAGAAAAGTGCATTCGATTCAAATCAGCTGTGGATTTAAAAATAACAATCGACTGCCGAAGTGGCGACTTGTTTGACGTTTTGGCGTGATACACGGTTTTAGAATTGTAAGTGATTGAACTGAAATGAAAACGGTGATTTTTTTTTGCTTTTTGTCACGAGTCGGCTGAGTGTCGGCGGCGCGGCTATGAATCAGGAATGTGCGAAAGCAATGTCGAACAAGCGAAAAAAGTAGGAATTGCGGATGCTTGGATTTCGTGGTGTGGTATGAGAGGAAAAGAGAGGATAAGTTAGAAATGTTTTTTTTTTAGTGTTGAATCATATGTGAGGGACAGTAAACTCATTAATTTGAGCGAAAAATAAATTAAAAATATAAATACTAGGAAAAACACGTACGATCTCTTCATTCAGAGCTGCGTAATGCGGTGACTTGTTTATCCTGTTAATCAGAGCAAAGATGTAATAAGACATCAAGTGTTCTTACTTGTGATCACAAAATTACGAGATCTGTATGCGAGAAGGTTTCCGGTCGTACCAAGCCAGCAAACATCCCAACTGGACGCTGAAACAAAACCTGGTTGCCAAAAACCGTGCAAGAAAGCTGTACGAGCAAGTTCTGACCAAGTATAACGAATGTATTTTGATGGACGATGAAACTTACGTAAAAATGGACTTTGGACAAATCTCGGGCCAACAATTTTACTTTGCTAAACGGAAGGGGGATGCTCCGAATAAATTCAAATTTGTCTTTGCAGATTAATTCGCTCGCAAGTTGATGATTTGGCAAGGCATCTGCAGTTGCGGAAAGAAAACAAAGGTTTTCATCACTGGAGCGAATGAATGGACAACTTTACAGGGAGGAGCGTCTCCAGAACATAATTTTGCCCTTCATTCAATAACACGAAGGTCCCGTAAAGTTCTGGCCTGACTTACCCAGCTGCCTTTACAGCCGCGATGTCATAGAATGGTGTAAGCAAAATAATGTCGATTTTATTGAAAAAAGTATCAATCCACCAAATTGTCCAGATTTTCGTCCCATTGAAAAATTTTGGCCAATTATCAAGCGCATATTGAAGAAATGTGGCAAAACAATCAAAACACCATCTGATTTGGAGAAGTGGTGGAAAAGGATGGTAGGTGAGGTTGACAGTACTACTGTGCAAGGCATGATGAGAGGAAGGGTAGAGCGCTATTTCGTCGTAATCGTCCATTTTCGTTCTATCGAGCAGAAAACATCAGTATAATCAATGATTTCACCGTGCACAAATCAGTAAGACGTTTATACCGATGCGTTAGTTCACAAGCTACAACACAAAGCTTATTAAAGCGTATTGTATGAGTATTTACACTCATTGTTCTCAAAACAAAAGAAGCGCTCCTAGCGAACTCGCATTTTCTACCTTCATCCGTAGGACGAAGAAAATCCAATGGCGTTTCAATGCGTTTGGACGGAATTAAAACTCGTAGGACGAATTCGGAATCAACAAGCAGGGTTAGATTTTTAACAATATCTCAACAATGTGTGGCTCTTTATCAAATCCAACGGAACTCATGGAGGTGGGCAGGGTAAAGTCCTCTAAGTAAAAGTTTGGGCGTCCGTGAACCGTCAAAATGCACTTCTGTAACTGCTGTGCTCGATTGAAACAACTCTTTTCAGTGTTGTGGTGACATTTTTCCATACTTTTACTAGAGTTCTTAAGGGCAGGGAAGCTTGCTTTACATACTAAACACTTTTAAAGCAGTCAATTTAGGTTTTTATTTAATATGAGATTGTTACATAGCGCCCCTATGTACAACATCCAGATTTTTGGCGCTCCGTAATTTGTGCACCACACCTTAATGAGCGATATTTGTGGTGTAATAGGATGCGTGCTCGATGCTGATCGAACATCATGGTTGACTCGTTCCAAGGTTGTTATTCTATGTGCAGGCCTGCGTTTCGGTGGTTTTCTTTCTTTTCATTTTGCGTGACAATCGTCGCCGCCACGAATTTGAACGACGATAGCAGCACACGATAAATTTCAGAAATTTTGCAAACCATAACTTTGAAAATTCTCCTTGGTCATTTCATTGGAACTCTTGACAAGCAATTATTGTAGTTTTCTCAAGAGTTCTCTTGGAATCATCAACAGTTTACTCTTGTTTAATTCTTGTTTAATTTTCTAAAGAACAATCTTGGTATTCTGTTAGCCATTCTCTTAAAATTTTCTCCATAACGCTTTGAGTATGCTCTCCAGACAACTATTCACTATACAATTTTCTTCCTATTGTTGATGATTTTAGCAGGAGATCTATTCTATTTTCTAAATAATTCTTTATGATATTCATTTGGAATACGCTGAATCCCCTTAGAATCCCTTGGTCAGGATTATCACCCCTATTTTATGTTCTGTTCAAAAAATATATCCTAGACAAAAAAAGGGGAACTCCATTTCAATCGAAATAGGGAATAGGAGTGATCATTAAATTCACCAATAAGTTCCGTAGGAACACTCCTCAGCATTTCCTAAGTATTAACCTAGCGAAATTCTCTTGGAATGTTCTCTGAAGCTCTTTAAAATTATTCGTTATTCGCTTGAACTATTTTCTTAGAGTTCACCTTAGTACTCCTTTGGACCTATCAAATTCAGCTTTCCTTTGCATTGTTATCAGTATTCTCTTGGAATTCCTGTCTGGATGCTTTTGATGTAAAGTATGAAATTTCTGTTAAGTTTCCATTACAATTCAGTTGGAATTATCCTTGGAATTCTACGCATAGCTACTACTACCACTCGGATGTTCTTTCCTAACTAATAACTGTACATGTTGAGGCAGGGTAACTGTCACCGATTTCACATGGACATAACTTTCAATGGGTAAAATGATTATGTGTTCTAATATTTTTATTTTAAAGTGTGTACAAATGTCAGCTTATATTGATAGTTGGATTATTTTGAATTTAATTCGTATTCGATTTCATGGAGGCACTCATTATAAGTTTTATTGAGGTTTTAAAGCACTCTTCAAGTCTAAATCATGGTCTACAGTACCCTCATAAAACCCAAATTGTTACTTGGGCATGGACGTGACAAAATAGGACGCTTTATGTATAAAGTCATGTGACAGAAAGGAATCTCTCCGAGTGAATGAAACATTTATTCTTCTAAAAGGACAAAGGAACTTTGCTTGGAAAATCCGTTAAAAATCAGGGCTTAAACGCATCGCCAGGACTTCAGCAGGACTAGAATTAAAATATGCGTGCCCACTGTGATTTATTTTTGTGATGAATGAGGCTAGTAACTAAAGCAAAGGGATTTAACTAAATTGATGGTTATATATGTAGTATATTTGAAATAAACTGATAACAAAAATTCATGCAATTGAACCCTGATAATAATCATTTTCTTAAGTGACAGTTACTTTGCATTACCCTGTATGTATGCTGTTAAATTATTGATATCCTCCATACAATTCCTTTCAAATTATTTTCAAATTCGAATTCTCTTGGAATTTTCATCAAAATTCTTTAGAAATTTAACTCAGAATTTCTTTAGAGTTCAAGCTAGAATATTGTTGAATTTGTGGTCAGAATTATCTTAGAAAGGTGATCACAAGTTGTTTGGGATAATCCTCAAAATTTACTATATATTCTGCTTATTGTTTCCATGTAATTCATCTCAGAATTTTCTTTGGAGATCTCTTAGACTCCTCTTTACAATCTCCATGGAATTCTCATCAGAATTGCCATGTTATTCTAATCATAACTCTCTTCGAATCCTCCACAAAACTCACCTGAAGCTTTCCTCGCATAGTTCATGGTATTCATTTCAGATTTCCTTAGAATTTTCCCGAAGTTCCTAAATAATGCTATCTAGAATTCCCTGGGACTTATTAACAGCTGAAAGTCTCTATAATAAAGCTAAACTAATTAACTGCTCAACAAACAAGTTTAGCTGCAGACTAGACTAACTGGGCATCTCAAAAGTACAGAATGACAAAACAAAAGTGTAATTTTACGATGTATCGTGTTGGTGGGTCCTGCACACTTATTCCTAATCAATCAAGGAATAAGTTTGATAAAGACACCAAAACGATTTTAAATAAAAAGGCAGGTCATAACCGATTCTGCACTTTTTGTTGAACTTATAAAGTGATAAGATAGATAATCAACATTCATTTTCCAAAAGTTCACCAATTTTCCTGAACCTGAACCAAGATTAATTTTTCAAGTATTGAATCTCGGAAATATTTCAAATATAGAAACCATCAGTTCCTCTATAAATTCTCGTCATATTTCTTTTCGTAATGTTGGCCTTGTTTTCAAGTTGTAGACAATTCGCAAGGAGCTTTCTCTGATTTATTGCTAACGAACTACAAAGCCTACAAAATTTCTCTTGCAAATATCTTCCCTTGAAGAAATTTTTTTCTTGAAGAATCTTGGCCTTAATATCTTTTTAAAAATTCAGATAAATGATTTTGATAGTAAATTAGACAGTGAATTCACCTTGTCCCTATGACTGTGTCCTATGATGGCCCTTATTACCGATGTCACTTCACAGTGAAGTGATTCCCATTTGATGTTCACGGCGATCAATTCACCGTGAGTGACAAGTGGTCACTTAATTTCGTTTTCACCGTGAAGTGACACTCGTAATAAGGGCCGATTTTATTGTATATGGAATCTTTTACATGCAGCACTGTACTGAGCAGGTGGCGAAAGTGGAATTTTCCACAAACAAATTCCAGCAGAGCTTAAAAACTGCTTTCTCTCTCTTTCTCTAACATCTACAAAGTTCTCAAATCTCTACTTCTTGAAAATGATCCATAGTTCCATAATGTTTCTTTCCAAGTTCTTTCAATTCAACGAAGATCTCAGACCTTCTCCAAACATCAGGAAAGACGAACTTTTTCTACGAATGTTCCCAAAGAAACAAAGTTCCCAACATTTTCAAATCAAACCCTGAAGCTTTAAAAAGTATGCTGAATTTCTACAATACTCCTTGAGATTCTGCAAAATG